AAACTTAAAAGAAAGCATACAAAAAAAATTTTATTTTTATTTAGAATTTAAAACGAAATTCTGGGTGATTATCGAAAAACCTTAAAAATCCGTATATCTCAAGACCTGTTGTTCCTTTTCGGCCATACATATGGTGGGTAAAATTTGTAGCAATGTGACTCCCCTATCATGCCCTGTCAGGAAGTTGTCGAGTTTCCAGTAACCCTGTATAATATGGTTTTTAAGGGGGAGTAAACTAATTCCATTTTTGTGTTTGATTAATAAACATCGTTTCGTAAATGCGTACCTAAGTTTTATTGAGCTAAAACATACTTTATAATTATCGCTTACCTAATATTTACAAATAATTACATTCAAATTAATCTGTCAAGCCTTTGAAGTACACATGAGGCAATCCAAGGTCAACTTTGTAGAACGCTCCAAAGAGTATGGTAATATTTAGAAAGGACCCCTCAGAACCAAAGAGTATATGATCACTACACTACGTTTAGTCAGAACCATAGTTATTGTGCTCATAACAATTATTTTTTAAATGTTATTTAGATGAACTATAAAACTAAAATTTTATTAGAATTAGTTTCGTTATTAAATTACGCTTCTTTAAATTAACAGAATTTACTTCAAATGACGAGTTTCCGCCTCGCGTCGCGTTTACGTCACATACTTTAGTCTTATATCCTTCGCCGCGTGAGTGTAAGAGGCAACTAGAAATTTTACAAAAAATTAAGTGGGTACAATAGAAAGTTTTTTGTTAGTTTTTATACAAATGGTAAGTAATTACACTGTTTTAAAATTTAATTCCTTATATTTTGCTTCGTAACAATTTCATATATTTTATAAAATTGCCATTTCAAATACTGTGTCGTTCACGTATCACTATATTTAATAGCCAGAATTAACTGAAAAGTAAATAAAAAGTGTGAGTTATCACAATAAATCATGTAATAAACACAAATTTTCATATCCCACAAAGTCCAATGCGCGAAAATTACGTTTTATGTTATAATTTCGATATATAGTGAACATTATGGCGAAGTTGTTTTCAACAATAACTAAAAATAAAAATGTGAATGTGAAAAAAACACAGTCGACTTCCTTCTCCTGTTTGAAGTCGTTAGAAAAATGGCGTTGCTCAAAGATAGCGTAATAAAGTATATACTTTATTACGCTATCTTACGGATGTACAAGTATATACCTGTGATTTAATTTTTTTTGAGGCTTCTACTGAGTTTATCGATATAATTATATTATATATTTCTTTTCTTTATGAAAATCAAGTGTTTCTATGTCCTTGTTTCTTTCTTCATAATATTTATTCGATTTTAACATATATATATATATATATATATGTATATATATTGAATTTTAACATAATATAGCGATTCGTTAGATTTGCCTTAGTTGTAAAAGTGAAATAATATTTACTTTTTTTTCTTTTCAGTGGAATTGTTTGGTTTTGTTATTTAATATTGTTTTAACCATTGAACTTGTTTACGCAACTTTTGTTTAATAAAGTGTTTGATGCTGTTTTATGACTTTTTTACACATAATTGTTTACCACCGGCGGATTTTCCGTTCCGATACGACTTAGGGACCTTCAAGAAAAGAGCTTACACCTTTCTAAACGGCCGGCAACGCATCTGCAATTCCCCTGGTGTTGCGGTTGTTCATGGGCGGCGGTAGTCACTTACCATCAGGTGAGCCGCATGCTCGTTTGCCCCCTCTTCTATAAAAAAAAAAAACACAAAAATATTTTTTTTAATAATAAAATTAATCCCTCCCTCTCCTTACAGTTTCATTCCACTGCTGGTGATGGACCGTTACATCCTATAAAAACCCCCAATGAACATAGGCCTCCACTATATTCCTCATAGAGGGTATACTTGTCATAGTTGCCACGTTCTGTTCCACGGTACACGTACCTTGTTGTATTGAACAGTGGATCAGTCGCCTCTTACGAAACCCACGGAATAGTATGAATATTCATACACCGCCACTACACAGTAATTGATAATTTCTCGAAACATTTCATTTATCGACAAATCGTCTTGCAATCGTCGTCACTCTAGCGCTCACTTGACCTTCATATAAATAATTCGATATTTTAATTGTTGATAATTTTTTATTTTTGGATATGAACATAGTAATGACTCTAAGTTATTTTTACCATTTTTTTAAAAAATCGTCTGGCCTGACCTACTATACTCTTTGGCTTGACCATAGTTCTAACTAAATATGTCCAATAAAATGTCAAGGTCTGAGAGGTTAATAACTTAAGTACAATAACGCATAGGCGTCACTCTTGGCTTATCACTATTCAACCACTGTCAACTATGTATCAGTACTATAGAACACCTGGTTCGCTTGGCATAATGGGCATTGAGCGATACACGCACTCTATACCATGCTTATTTGTACTCTAAGTTCTGAATACTCTTATCTATTGTTCTAAGACGCCCATTACACGCCTAGGCAAGCGTCAATCAGTTCGATTAATCATGACTGAGGTTTGAATGATGGAATAATTTGGACATTACACGCTCATGCTGACTGATCGTCAGTCAAACCCAAATTTTCGGAGTGAAAGGACGTACCTATAAACTAAGTTCATTTTCGATTCACCATTTAATTATAATTTTATATCTTGAAAAGAAAAAGAAAAAAAAACGAATAGGAAAAATTGTAATATTTAATTTCATTTTACCCATTTTAATTTAACGCGCGCAAATGTTAGACCTCTTGGAGTGCATAATTGATACGCGGTTTTATTTGAAACGTTTATTCGTATAGGGTGGATGCCCCTATTACCAGCCTTTTAGTGCCAATTTCAATTTCTTTTTGTGTATCTAATGCCAGCATAGCATAGGGCTATGCCTTTTGAGTTTTTGGTAAGTACCTATTGTAGGTAAATTTTAGGGGCACTGAAATAAATTCATAACAACTTTTAATTTTAAATCATGCATGTCACAAGTATAGAATATGTATTAAGATAGACGACAACAATTATTTTATTTTAATGTTTTACTTCTTACCTTACTGTTGTTTAGCTTTAAGCAGTTACATTTTATCTTTTAACACTAAACAAATAATTAAAATAATATTATATAATATATATAAAATAATATTATATATAATATTTTTGAATCTTTATCATCATTTCCAGCCCTTCACAAGTCGACTACAGAACATCATCCTCCATAGACTGCCGCAAAGCATGGTCCTGAACCACTTTCCTTTTTATGACTTTTTCATTTATGTTCTTAAGTTATAATAAAATTAGTATTACTAAGTTGTATTTAATTACATTTATTGTTTGTTTTTGTCTTTCCCAAAAAATCATTAAATATTGTATGGTGTTCTTAACATATACCAAATGTCTGAAAAGCAAGTACGTATCATTTGTTAAACTTTTAAATCAAACACCAATTTTAAAATATAGACGAATTGACCATAACTTACTTAACTATAAAATAAGTTATGTTTTTTTTATATAGAATAGGGTGACAAACGAGCACACAGTCCACCTGATGGTAAGTGGCTACTATGACCCATAGACATCTACATCTATCCTCAATATAGACTCAAGATGCAGATGCGTTGTCACCCGTGAGGACTAAGATGGAATGCCTCTTTGCCAGTAAAAAGGGTCTTCGGTTCTCTACACTCACCATACGAAACACAGCAGCGTTAAGCTGCTATTCTACGTTGGTTTTCTGTGTGAGTTCAAATTAATGGTATTTATTCTAGTTTATGACAGCCCTGATTTATTTTAAGTGGTTGAAATAAGGTACTTCTTATTATTTACGTCAAACCAAATAACAGTCGGGCGACTGACATTATGCACTCCAAAAATTTCGTATATCTAATTACAGCCCCATTAATTTCCACTAAAAGAAAAAAAAACTTATAAATTTAAACAAAAATAGCTGCATTACTATGTTTATAGTCACATTCATACAAATCAAAAAGCCTAAAGATGAGCTAATGTAAAATATGCTTATGTTTTGATTTTAATTTAACACTGTTAGGTTTAAAACTGTGAGGTAATATTTGAAATATACTTTCCTCTAATTACGAAGAATTTTTAGCCGACTATATTTGTAGTTAAGACTACTAGAAATCTTATTTACAAAGTAAAAAGGCGGAAAGGCTGGAATTAGGGGCGTGGCTGGTATTAGGGGCATCCAACCTACCCGGGGTTTTTCGTGTCCCACAACTCGGGGAGAGACTGAAAATTTAAAATAAAATCTTTTTCTGGCTGAAACACATTTGGTGGGAGTGGCGACGAGCTGCGCGAGCGCGTAGAAGCAGCCTCTTCAATATATTCTGCGTCCGCCTCCATTGCTGTCTAAGCGTTGACTGACGCGAGATAGACGAAATGCCATTACACGTTCAATCAAAATTCGTGACTGATAGTTGATTGACGTAAAAATCAAAATATCCAGATATTTGTCAATCAATTTCACGTAACCGTCAATCACCGCATTACACGATAGGTTATTCGTCAATCACAACCTTGATTGTTGTAAAACTGACAGCAAAACCTACCGTGTAATGGGCGTCTAATGGGTCCATTTCTATTATTACATACTATTTGGCGGGGTCTATAATCTTAAAGATTGATCCTCAGAAGGGCTAGAACCCAGAGCCGTAAAGCCAGTTTAAAAAAAACTTAAGGATTCGGCTAGATCCCAGAGCCGTAAAGCCAGTTATTAAGAAGAAGCCGTAGGCTAGCCGCCACAGAGTACATTATATTGCTAGCCGCACACACGCAATAATATTGACAATAAAGTACGTATTGTCAATAATATTGTGCGTGTGCGGCCTGTATTGCGATATTGTTCAATAATATTGTTGATATCCAGAAATTCTGATTTTGTCTCGTCAATATCGGGGGGAGGCAGGGGTATTGTCAATAATATTGCCGTTTGCGGGCGCGCGGCAATATTTTAGTTGAGGAAAAGATTTCAAGGAAGGCGGACGTTCGTTTTATATTCAAAATGGAGGACGAAAACAATGTTGATATTAGTATTCTTACGCAAAATCAATATTTCTCAATATTTATTAAAACATGGGAAACTTATCCAGAATTATGGAATACATGTTGCGAATCATATCGCGATAAAGTAAGGAAAAATAATGCGCTTGATAAGTTGCTCGATATTTATAAAAAAATGAAACCAAATAGCACGAGAGAAGACGTCAAGAAAAAATTAAATGCCCTACGAACAAATTTTCGGAAAGAGTTAAAGAAGATTCACAAATCGAAATCATCAGGAAAAGGAACCGATGAGGTTTACGTCCCGTCTGCGTGGACGTATTATGAATTGCTGTTTTTAACAAATGATGAACAACCAATAAAGAAAACTATAGAGGTTAGTTTATATTTTTTAATAAGTTTGTTAATTACTCTCCGTAGGTTAGTACAAAAAACTTAGATTAGGTATTTAAACTACAAAAGTACTGACAATAATTGTCTCTTATTATTTTAGCATTTATAGTTGCATTTCTATTTTGAGTAGACTGTAGATTAGTTATACTGACTGATGGTGATTCCTTTTCTTGGTTTAAATAAAGGGAAGCGTTTTCTTTAATTAAAAAGTTGTGTAAGTAACAACAGGTTAAAGTCATTTTCGTTGCTTTGTCTGGTTCTAGATTTATAGCTTTTTGAAAAATACCAAAACGTTTAGCCAAGATACCAAAAGCACACTCAACCGTTGATGGATTCCTTGATAATTTTTGATTGAATATCAGCTCATTAGAGCTGCAGTTTTTCTGTGAGTATGGCTTCATCAAATTTGGGCCCAAAGCGAACGCTTCATCAGCCACAAATACGTAAGGAAATAAGTGTGTCATGTTTGAAAGATTAATTGGGTTAGGCAAGTTAAGTAGACCTTGTTCGTAAGACTGCCAAAATTTTGAATAGTACAGGACTCCACCATCAGATATCCGACCATTGATACCAACATCAACCATCATAAATTCTTTACGAGCATTTACTAAAGCCAATAAAATTATACTATGGAATCCTTTATAATTAAAGTAACGTGAGCCTGCATTTTTGGGCATAATAATCCCCACGTGCTTGCCATCTAGCGAGCCTTAGCATGTAGGGAATCCATGAATGCGTCCAAAATCATCGGCCACTTCTCTCCACTCTTGCTGTGTTGAAGGTGTCTAAAACAATAAAAGAAATAAACATTATCATAACTTGTTATTAACATTTTATTTACTTGTCTTTATATATTACAGGAAGACAAAGAAAATGATCAAGACCAATATAGCTATTCGATTAGCTCAATGGATCCACCTCCAACTCCAGTATCGGAAAATAAGAAAAGAAAAAAGGAAAATGACCAGCAAAACCTTTTACAGAGGACTTTATCGTTTTTGGAGAAGGATTCTTCTGATCATCAAGAAGAATATCATCTTGCCAAAGTCTGGGCCGCTAAATTGACAAAACTGGAGTCTACACAAAAACTTTTTGCGGAAAAGGCAATTAACGATATTTTATTTGAGGCACAACTTGGAAAATTAAACAAAAACTCAGTGAAAGTTAATGAGCATGTACCATATACTTCATCGCCTTTGCTGCCTAGACAGTCACTATATCATCCCAGAGTAAACTATATTCCATCACCTAGTCAATAACCAAGCACACAAGATTCAATTTTGAGATACAATTTAACACCTTCGCCACATTCTATATATAACAATGAACATAATATTGATAATACTATTACTATGAAACCTCCACAGATATTGTCCAAGACTCAAAGTCACCATCAACCAATTGTAACCACCGGTATTCCATCTCAAATAATATTAAGGCTTCCACTGACACGATTGCAACAGTTTGGGTATGGTCCACAAGACACAATATCACAAGAAAATAAACAAAATAATAATATAACTTCTAATGTTATAACATTTGAAGGCGACGTACATGCCAATTATACTCCAAAAGAAGATAGTTCAAATTTTTTTCAGTCCTAATAAGTGTTTTGTGAACATATTAATAAAAACTACAATTTATTACCAAGTACTACTTGTATTAATAAAAGGATTATAATATTTTATTTGTTTTAGTTCAAATCAAAAACAAAGTGTATTTATTGCAAAAAACTGCAAAATACACATACATAGCATTGATAGTATAATTATTATTATCTAAGTATCTAGTGATTACCAAATACATAGCTTAGATGTTTAAATGTTTAATTATTACTTACTTTTAAATAATCTTGCAAGACGTAAATTAACGTGTTACAAGTGTCCAGAACTGCTCCGTTTATAGCCCTTGGGGATAATAAAGTTGAATACTTCAAGTCTTCAAAACTTCTGCCAGTCGCTAAAAAGCGTAAAGTAACTGCCAACTTTTCTTCAGGCGTTAGCGATTTTCTCATGTGTGTATCTTTTTTCTTTAAATAAGGTGAAACTAAAGATAATAGTTTTTGAAAGCTGCTATCTCTCATTCTCATATAATTTTTGAAATCATTTTCTTCTGTAACTCGTAGTTCATTTATTAGATTAAAGTGATTTAACTCGGCTTTTTTTCTCATCCAGTCCTTAATCCATCGTTTCTTTCTTGATTGCCTTTTCTTAGTTAGTAAAATTAATGCAATACTCAATGCAACGCCTTTTTTTCTTTCTATCCATTATATTAAACGTGCACACATGAATCTAGCTGCAGAGCGACTAAGTCAGATTGTACCATGAAAAATTGCCAATAATATTGCATAGTGTGCGGGACCATATATTGATGAAGATTTTTGACAATCTTGCATTGACAATATTATTGTGTGTGTGCGGCTAGCCAAGGATTTGAGTTAGCTTGCTACATAATATATATTTATCTATGATTTGAGTTTTGGCGGGAACTTGACCAGCGGCGGTTTGCTGCTCCTGTATTATCGTTTAAATAATGGTTTGAAGTGGATTTTGATATTTAAAAGTAGTGCGGTTTTGTGTATTATATAATATAATTATATAATATAATATAATTGTCTGCACATGTGAACTATTAGTGGCAATGGTGAAACAAGTGCTCTGATGGGGATGTGATTCTCAATATAAGATGTCTGGTTGCTTAGGCGCTTTGAGATACCATCGCCAACTATCAGCTGTCTGCTGGCTCAAGTTGCCGTCAAAATCTCCCAAGGGCTGCACAATGTTACGCATCAACATATTGTGAAGCAGTATACTATGAACGATAATTATTATAATATATTGTAACTTCAGGCTCAGAAGGGCTAGATCACAGAGCCGTAAAGCCAGTTATTAAGAAGAAGAAGCCTTAAGTATTCGGCCGAAGCTTGATAGGTTAAACGAGAAAAAGAGTGTGTTGTGTAGTTCGGTTATGATTCATGTTATAGTAATAGAATAAAAAGTATTCTTAGTACTGATAATGTAAACTCCGTTACCAAAGGTGTAATGGAGTTTACATTATCATTACTACCCCTTACTTGTAAGTGTGGTACCATTCCACAAGTAAGGGGATTTACAGTTTATATTAAAAAATAAAAGTCTGATAATATAGGCTCTTAAAAATCTGTCACTTATTAAATGTAATTACGTACTAACATCTTTGGCTTTAAATTACCTATTCTTGATAAACAATAAAATTCAATAAGCTTGACTAGTTTCTTGTCGATAATAATTATCGGTGTTTTTTCTACCTATCACTGTTTACAAAAATAAGTCGTTGACAACAGATAATTATGACATATTCATTCATTTACAGGTTTTCAACTGACTATAGTAAAGCTGTGACTAAAAAGTTTAAAACTTGTGAATTGGTGTCCGAAGCAAATTGATTATGGCGTCAATGGTTTTTGGTATGGTATTCTTTAATGTAATTTAGTTTGTAAAATTCTAATTGTACCTATATATATTGTTGAATTATGCATAACATTTTGACAGCTTATTAATTTTATCTATTACGACAAGGACTAAATGAATGATTAACTATAAATTCTTTACAAAATTATAATCTTTTATTTTGTAGTTTTTCCAACTCATTGACTCTTTTAAACATCTCTAATGAACCATATAATTACTAAGAAAAACGCAGATAGACTAACGCAGTACAGTATTGATTTTTGTTTGATATGAGGTATAAAGGTTGTTTCTAAGATATAAGTATTAATTGTTACATTTATTTATTGTATGGCAATATATAAAAACACATAAATAAAATGGTAGGCCTGGGTATAGAATTTTTATCGATATAAATGTTACACTGTCTTATCTATATTATTATTTGTTCCGTGGACGCTCATTTCTATTATCAGCGACAAAATGGCGAAAATCAAATCGCCTTATTATTTCACTCTATATAGTGTTATTAAACTACGTCTACACACAAATGTAGACGCAGTTTAAGAATGTGTTGACGACGACGTATAACACGAAAAAAATTAGAAATTTAATTAATTTTAATGTTAATTTTTGTTAGTATTAAATAGTAGTATTATTACGTAAGTATATCCTAGAATCCCTATAACGATCCACCTATTGAACCCTAACCAATGAACTCTAAACACTAAACTTAACCAAAAATGTGGTCAATCAAACTTTCATATTACCAATATTAAAAATCAAAGGTCCCACTACCATCCCAGTTATTATGCTTTATCAATCAGCAATAAAAACAAACTATCTTATCATCTGAGGAGACTACTTGTTTAATTATTAGATGGTTTTCCGGAATTATAGCGTTCAATATCAGTCATACGTCACGCTTACGATCAAGTTTACTTCTGTCTCTTATTGTTATGTAGTATGAACTGATAAGTTAATTCTTACTCCATATTAAAATTACATTACGTTGGTTCACTATTCCGTATAATACACTGTGTTTGTGTGTCGAATAAATCAAGAGTGCTGAACAGAATTGATAAATAAACAATTTAAGTGTTTATTATTTAACGTAAGTATTCAATGAGTGTTTAAATTACAACAAAAAATTTATTCCGTATAAGGCTTAGATCATACCTATTAAAATGTCTAGATACCGCGACGTGCTGTAATTACGTTTAAAATAGGGCTAGAATTTAAGGGTTTATGTGCGTAACAGCATCGTCAAAGACTACAATATCATATAGGGAAAGCATCGTCTTACGCTCGCGTCGACTGTCTTTGTGTGCGTGTCGATTCAACTACTTTTTTACCATCGTGTGGTTACATTATAGAAGTTGTGGATGTGGTTATATTTGTAGTTTCATATTTCGTACATACATTTTACGTAATAATTGTTTTAATAAATTAATTCTATAATAAACTTTTGATAATTTGCATGATCTACAAATACATATTTCAATAATTACGTTTGTAAAAATGCAATTAGCCGTCATCATTTTTAAAATTCTTGTTCCTGGGCCGATTGCTTTTAAAATCTAAATACATTTCGTTTTATTACCCTTAAAAAGCAATTTTTAACGTTAAACCAACGTGTAGTAAGCTGGTTTAACGTCAATTTAAAGCTATATCAAAACGAAACGTTCGTCATATTTTAAAGATTGTCGTTTAAGTCGAAAAATCTACGAAGTATTATCAGCAAATAAAAATATCATGGTTATTCCCAAACAAGTAAGGTATGGAATAATCTACATACACAACACTAATATAGCTTATATTAGTGTTGTCAAAGAACAGGAAGGGTCCAAGCATTGAGACCCGAGGAACACCCATAGACAATACCGACCCGGAAGTGCTAGTCCCATTAATAACAATTGTTTGTGTTCTGTTATTTAAATATTATGATATAATAAGTTTAAGCGTTATTTTTACACCATCATAATGTGGCTTCCCGATTAATGTTCCATGGTGAATACAGTCGAAAACCTTAGACAGACCACAAATTATTCCCAAAACGTCTTCAATTCTCACGTGCACAGTATATGTTTAATCAGGTCAAAACCAGCGTCGGTTATCGAGCGACCCAAACTGATTTTATGTAGCAATTTATTTACATTTTAATGTCTACTGCTGAACAAAGGTCTCCACGTAGATTGCCTCATAGGGGATATGGGATGTTTGCCATAGTTACCACGATAGCAAGTGGGTTGGCAACCGTAGTTTTTATTTTATTTTTAGTCGTTATTATGAAGGCGCTACTGCCCATCTCCTGATTTGTTTTCCTCTGTCGCTTCTTACGACACCCACGGAATGATATGGGGTAGTGGATATTCATTATTCATACACCGCCACTACACGGTCGTAATGTACTACCAGATTTGAATAAAGGTATAACTACTATGTTTCATTAAATCGGGAATTACACAAGAGGTGCTTAAGTAGACAGACACCTTATTTTGAGATTCACATCACCATCGGAGCAATTCACCGTTTCCAAAATAGTTCACATGCTTAGACATTTAATACACAAAATCGCACTACTTTTACATATCAAAATCCAATTCAAGCCATTATATAAACAACTAGCTGTTCCCCGCGACTTCGCCCGCGTGGAGTTATTTAATCCTACAATAAAAGCCCAAGTTACTCCTGCCTGCTAAATCTGTCATTGTGTATAAATATTGACATTAATATTTATACGATACTAACGTCACTCAATTGTTTTGCCTCCATGGAACCCCTCTACTAACACTTAAGCTTTATGGTATGGTATTAAAGTTCAAATTGACTTT